TACAGAATAACACCAGCAGTTCAGTTCAGCAGTCGTAAGCTGGAGGATTCGAGGATTCTTCAGGAAGGCGTCGTTCAAGGCAGTTCAGCAGTTAATGTGTTAACCTTGAGAGTGTTATAATTATGTCGTTGATATAGCAGTCTTGAAAGTGTAATGACGAATTGTAGTTACGACGTGTGAAATTGTAGAATAAATCGAGTTATCAGATCCGGAAACCATTATTTACTGTTGCGTTACCAGGATACATGTGACAATATCATTAAATATCCTTATATAAAATTTCAGTAACATTTTCTGTGGCTGTTACTGGAGGAGAGGAGACAGGCCAAGCCGGATGTTTCAGTGACGCTTCTGCCTTGTATTAGCGAGATTTCAGGTTCGAATCTCAGTAGTGGCAGAGACTCCTCACAGAAGAGTTTTGTTTTCTTCAGTCTCTCCAGGCAAGGGCCCGGACAGTACCTTATTTCAAGTCCGACCAATTCTTTTCAAATCCTTCTCAATTTATTATTCCTTTGACACTGAGCTCCTGCTATCCTCTCTCTGGGAAATTTCTGCTGGTCCTTGCCAACACGACCATTTTTGGTTTCATTCCCCAATGGGACACATGATCCATACTTCCTCTCTCATTGATATCCTCGTTAAATGAACAATAAAAAACAATAAACAGACTGACAGGCAGGTGGGCGGGGTGAAGCTAATTTCGTAGCGAAATCATCCATAAAAGCAAAGGAGTAAACTCACCTTTCTTCATTGACTGAACCTCTCTGGTTTTCGGACAGCAAATGATGGGGTCCTTTTTCTCGTAACGGCACATGACAGGCAGCACAGTCTTGTGTACCGAATGTCATCGCGTACAGCCGTGCACTGCGACATCCTCTTGCACACTCCAGCGGAACCGTCGCTGGAAGTGCACAGCCCTCCTGCTCAAGACAACACAGAGTTCACGCAGAGTTTTAGGTACGGGACATTCCTGCAGTTAGCTCAGGAGACTGGCTACTAAATTTGTATCTTTTATTTATTATCCGTGGATTCCCGTCAGGGATAAGATATTTTACCTTCTAAGTGTCCAGACCTGCTCTTGATTCCATCTCATCCTCCTTGATTTGATCCTTCTAATTATAGTTAGAGAGGAATACAAGTTATGAAGCTCCTCATTATGATTAATACTGCTAAATACATTTCAGTTCAATTCGATTCTTTATTATTTATGTTCCGAGTCAAGAGCCGCAAGGCCAATTACAGATAGAGCACAGTGTAGATACAATTAATTTCATTGTGGATAATCACAACATAAATACAAAGACAAATTACAGGCAAACACTGGAAGAAAACACACTAATGCAAATAAGTAAACAAACAGAAAAAGAATAATAATTTCATTAACATAAATCTAAGTTATTTTTGAGAACTAAGAAAAGAAATAATAATAATAATAATAATATGAATAGCAATGTATTACCTTCCGACAGTTCTGCTGAACCAGATGCCCCCCGAAGTAAACCGACGACAAAGAGACAGGTGAATATTCGCATGTTGCCTGACGTCTCCTCAATACACTGAAAGGGCAGGACAAATAAGCAGTAAAGGTTAAGTCGCATTTTGGGCGGACGTGTTTGTGGTAGACCGAACTATTGATAACATCTACTGCCATGTACGAATACCTTAATTTCCTTCCTTTCTGTGTAGCCTCTCGAGAAGACGTCCTGTCCTGTATTTTAAACAAGAGTAGATATATTGCTGTGTTCTGGGATATGCTGCCGTGTAGTCTCGTACATCATTACTGACGTTTTGAAGGAATTTACTGCCCCCATCTTCAGGGCAGATGACAGAGATGGAGGCAGTATATCCCCTCCAAACTTGCTCTCTCTCTCTTCAATGTAAAAAAAAACTTATACCCAGAAGATGCAGACAGTATGTTTCTCTGAAATGTCGGTAAACTTTCAGTATACACGATGTTATAGGAGCCAGGATAGCTCAGTCGGTATAGAGACTGGCTACGGGCTAGATGACCGAGGGGTCGGAGTTCGAGTCCCTGTAAGGTAAAAAATTTCCTCTTCTCCACGTCATCCAGATCGGCACTGGGGCCCATCCATCCTCCTATCCAATTGATCTTTCCCCGTGGGTAAAGCGACCGGAACGTGACGCTGAGCACTCACCGCCAACTAGTGCCGAGGTCAAAAAAAGTGGATCTATGGATCCACTCCCCCGTACGCCTTCAAGGAGTAGCACTTAATTGGTTAACTACAGGGACAATTTTACTTTTACACGATGTTATATCCGAGGAGATTAAGAATCATCAGTCAAAATAGACAGTCTCGGGCTCGAGATTATATTCTGGTCGCGTATAAGACCAAGCTAATTAAGACATGCTTTCATATCGCATGAGTTATTTTCCCCTTTCTCTACGGTCCGTTACGGTCTCAATTTTAACGTAACAGTGCGAACAATGTTCACTTCCCTGTGACGTCAGTCTCCGAGCGTCACAAATATGTTGGATTTGAGGTTCTCTCAGCGGTGGTTATGAAGAATCCTCTCTTCCGCCACGTAACGCTATGTAGTCCGGTGAAAGTCAACTGACGTTTCGGTTGAACATATCAAACAGATGACTTAACAAGAGGAAATATTGAGGGTTCTTTCGATTTTACATCACCTGGAATAGATCTGTTATGACATCAATGTATCTGCATACAATGTACTTTTACTGTCCCGAGACAGTACCTCGACCAAGTCACATCCACTTCCTTCCAGATCCTTTCAAATTCATATTCCATCAGTCATCCTACAACCCGAGGCTATGCAACCTCGATAATAAAAGGATTACATAAGCCGCAACATACACGTAAATAAATAAACTCCGCACCTGGCGTGTTACGTAACACGTTTTGTGTAATTAATGCAGACCGTCAACTTGACTGCGCCGATCAAAGTCGCCGCGCGGTCTAAGACATGAACTCTTCTCGCCCGCTCAAACACTGGGGTCGTGGATTCGAATCCCGCTCAAAGCGTGAACGTGTGTCTGCCTTTATTCCTTGTTTGTGTAGGTAGCAGCCTTGCAACTGGCTGATTCCCCGTCGAAGGAGTCCTACCGAGCGTGTATAGGATTGCGAAATCGAAAAAGCGGCAAGGGCCCAACAAAGGGCTGTAGAGTCATTCATGAACGAATTAATCATCTAAATCTCATCACATTATATAGTACTGTCACAAGTTCATGGCGCCGTGACTAATAATAACGGGTTTTGGATTGGATGATTGGATTTACTGACGCCTTCTTCTACAATCTCTCTTAATCTCTATCAGTTACAATAATTCACAGTCAATCTCCAACCGAATACTCCTTCCTTGACTGCCGAGGACTCGCTCCATTCTCGCTCTCTTTCTACGTCTGAATTGATTATGTTCTGTGCCATTTATATAGTCTCTAGGCGGGAACCATAGAAAACATCTGTTGCCCAGTAATGGATATATGCGAACTATATATAAAGCATGTAAGATTTGAGGCTTCCACGGCGGTGACTATGAAGAAAGCAGTCTTCTGGGATTTGGCACCGTGTATATGTGGTGTTAACCGACGTTTCGGAGGAACGTATCGCCTCCATCTTCAGGGTAGAAGAAAAAATATATAAGAATCTGCAAGCAAAGAGACCGTGAGAACCGGTAAAAGCTTTATTTATATATAAAGCACCGCTTCCTATGTTCTTATATTTGCAGGGTGTTGCATAGCAACGGAAGTTATGAGATTGTTGCCTGCGTATTCGTTGCCGCGGGAATGTGTTTACCGTGTCGTTTCCCAGCAATGGGTGTACATGTCACAGTATTAATGATGTTGGAATTACGTTAGAAGTAATTAAATAGCTACTGACGAAAGGATTGCTTTTTTCCAAGGCCTCATTAGTAATTTCGAAATAAAAAACCTGGTCCATCCATATGCTTCTTCAGTAGACAAGTACATGTGCACTCAGAGCTGAAAGGACGGTTAGAGAAACTGGGTAAATAAATGTCTCCATCTTATTCAAATACTTTATGTAATAAACATTCAGTATAATTATAATTGATATTCATATGTCGTACAGTACGCGTGAAAAGTAAACACTTTTTCGGTTGCCACATAAGGCCCGAGTAAATACATTTAGTTTGCGTTTATTGGTGATTCTGAAGTCAAGCTTTAAGTTAAACTCTGCGTATTTTGTTTTACTTCAACTGACATATTACCGCTTTTAGGGCGCGCCATAGCTCAAGCGGTTAGTCGCTGCCTTCCCACCGCGGAGGCCCGGGTTCGATCCCGGGTCTGGTCAAGTGTGATTTGTGGTGGACAAAGTGGCGCTGGGGCAGGATTTCTTCTAGTACTTCAGTTTCCCCTGCCAATCTTCATTCCACCAATTGCTCAATAATCACCCTCACCTGTCATCTGGGGCTGGTACAATAGGCCAGAAGTGGCCGCAGTACCAAGTGGACTCAGTCCCACCTGCCCAAGTAATAAAAAATAATAGTACCGCTTTTAGTCGTTCGTTTCAACCCTCTTGAAGGTATCGTTGGGGGTGAGTGGTAATCCTTCATGTAGTAATCATATTTCAGTAGTTCAAACTGTACGTAAGCTCCATTACTTACCCAGTCGTTCCGTCCCGTAAGGTCTTGCGTAACCAGAATTTTGCGTAAGTCGAAATCGTCACTCCAGTATACGTACGTACATACGTATTTGTGTCTGTCCATGTTTGTGATTTGTAGACACAGCAAAAAGTGAAAATATGAACGGACGGAAAGGATTCATTGTAAGCATAAATAAAGGTAAAGTTGTCCCTGTTCTTTACGAATTAAGCATTACGCCATGAATGCGTATGGGTGATTCTTGACATCGACACTAGTTGGAGGTGAGTGGTCAGCTTCACTCCCTTGCCGCATTACCCCTGGGGAAAAAGTTCCCGGTACCAATTCGATAGGAGGTTGGGTGGACCCCAGAGCCGGTCTGGACGACGTGGAAAAGAGAAACTGCTTGAACCTGCCGGGACTCGAACTCCGAACCCTCGGTTGCCCAACATGTAGCCAGTCGGTATACCGAGTACGCTACCCCGGCTCATCGTTAGAAACATAGAAAACTAATATTTGGAACAACAACAATTTATTTACATTTTGTTTTATTCTGTTCGCTACCTACTGGAAAATTTTTGTAAGGACGAATCTGCGCAAGTCGACGCCTGCGTAGTTCGGAGAGCGCCAGTAATTCCAAATCATTATTTCCGTGGACTGCGAATGTATTTCCTTCGCTACAGCAAATAAAACAATAAAAACACTGAAAAAAATAAATATCAACATTAACATCCCCCCCAATTTAAATATACTATAACAGTGAAAAATATGACCAAAAATTTATATTACCAAACACAAATATCGTATCGTAAATTATCGTAAAACTGAAATCACAGTCTAAAAAATTACCTTTTCTCCCGTTTCGAAAATAAATGTTTCTACTTCAGAAACTCGACTAATGGTTAAGCTCGGGTCCTGGAAAACTACATCGGTAATCCTGCGTACCACATCTGTACACAGTTCTTACTTTCACTTCTTGAATATTAACTGCATACGTCAGATAATTCTGAGGGCGAAAACACTAGGCTTTGCCCCTACGTATAATTACCCCGCCAGACTGACTGTGAAGCATTTATACATGAGATAGTAAGAATAATTTTCACCGTTCACATTCGTCAGTAATAGCAACGTACAATCTTAATACAGTGATCTGAGACAAATCAGAGACATGTAAACAGCTCAGGTACTTTCTGGGAATCAATAAATTGTATCTTGATGTCGCTTTATCCTTGATATCCTACTCCAAAACTGTCCTCTAGTGTCCCTCCTTCCTCTTTGCTTCCCTTTGCCTTCTCTAGTGATGATGGTACCGTTATTTCAATGGGATGGAGTACAGCCTTCTCCACAGGATAGAATACGTGCTTCACAGCAGGAACCTTGACCGGGTACGGCCCTTCTGCGGGCACGGGATATGGCCTCTCTGCAGCCACAGGAATCGGCTTGTCCACGGAGACTTTCACGGGGTAGAACGCGTTCTTCTCAGCTGTGTAGTTTAGTTTCTTCTCTCCAGTGTAGGGGATTCCCTTCCCTATTTTGGCTGGATAGGACTTTTCTGCTGGCACAGGATATGGGCTCTTCACATGCACCTAAAATGCAGACAGTACATCGTATTTTCATTACAATTGCATTCGAGAAGCTCAGTTATCTTCCTCCTCCATAATCGTGCTTCTACAAACACGGTAAACTTTCATTTACTTCTATTTCTTGCTTAGGGATTTAGGTCGTTTATCCAAGGAAGCCATCAAGATCCGATGCCCTTTGTGACATTTCGTAGCAAGCAGTAGCATAGTTGGTTGAGACATGCTACAAGCCGGAAGGACTCGAGTTCGAGTCCCGATGAGGTGGATATTTTTCAATTGACCTAATCCTTCCAGCCGCATTATGGCCCTGGGGTTGGCTCAGCCTTTAACAGAAATGAGTACCAGGAATCCTGATGTCGGGTAAAGGGCGGCCGGCGCGTGAGGCTGACAACCTCACTGCTATCTGTGAGCCGATTGCTTAAAAATATGTGGGAGCCTTCACGGCCTGTTACAGGGATAGCTTTAGGGGCTACAGCACTTGAGTTTCTGTCCACGAGAGAACTCTATACATAATAAACGTCACCGTTGGATTATCTAACTAAACAAACTTTGCTTAACAGAGTCCTTCTTGCTTGGCTAATAATAGCTCAGATTTTTTTTATTACTAGTGGGGTGGAACTAAGTCCCTTGTACTGCGGCGATCTTCTGGCCTATTGTACCAGCCCCAGATGATAGGTGAGGATGATTGTTGAGCAATTTGTGGAATGAAGATTGGCAGGGGAAACCGATGTACTCGGAGAAAACCTGCCCCAGCACTACTTTGTCAACCACAAATCCCACCTGACCAGACCTGGGATCGAACCCGGGCCACGGCGGTGGGAAGCCAGCGACTAACCGCTTGAGCTATGGCGTGGCCTTAATAGCTCAGATAGTCAAGAAATTCCCAATATTTTATGGACCGCTCGGGTTTATTACTTGCCATGTTCAGAAGAGCCAGCCACTGATTCTTTCCTGAGTCAGTCTACTGCTACTCATCATATTCCTCTAATGTCCATTTTAATATTACACTTTCGTCTATGCCTAGGTCTTCCAAGTGAAGTTTTTTCCTTATGTTCTAGTAATATTTTCTATCATTTTCCTGCTCTACAATGCGTGCTACATGACCCACAAGTTTCGTTCTTTTTTTATTTGTCCTTATAATACTCAACGAAACTTAAAATTTATTAAGGTTCTGGTTATGAAATTTTATCAGTTGTTTGCTTCTTTTGTTGCGGTATTTCTTTGATGATTTTCATTTCTTTTTGTCTCATTGAGGTGGTTATGAATAATTTATTTGTAGTTATCTTGTAATACATTTGCCACTAAATAAAACGTGATTATGATTTACATAACCTTGTGTTGCTTGCCCTGTACAGGAAATAGGACGTTCTATCTAAATACCTTTTAGGTATCTTTGCACGAGTCATATATTTTTAATAGGAAATTTCGAAGTGACACACTTGGCGAAGGAAATTGCTTCCAGCTGTCAAAGCTACGTTAAATATGCTCATACACCAGAAACATATTACGTAAATTATGACGTAGTTGCCCAGTGTAAGTGTTCAAGTCAATAGTGAGTGCTATATAATTTCTGTGACACAATCACGTTTGAATTCGCAGCACTGCGATTCAGAAAATGTTCACTTCTCGAAATTGAATGAACACTGAGAGTCAGAACTTGGTCCTGTGCAAACTGGTGCGATTGCACGTCTTGTACACACGATTTTATTGAGGCCTTAATATTTGCTAAGAAGAAAAATTTACATGAATTAAAGTGACCAACATTTAATGGAAATTTTCTGAATTAAGTATTATAAGCGGAATATACAATTAACATATTAATTTAAATTTATAAAGTACCAACACCAAGTAAAATTTCAAGTTCTTTGTGTTGTTATTTACATATAATTCAACTTAAGTGCCTTCTATGATACTGACCTCGTGGCAAATAAATTAAACTTTGAAGGGATTCCTAGTTCTCACGGCAATGATTATGAGGAGATGCATCTTCTAGTATGTGACGCAGTTTAGCCCGTAGAAAATCAACGTGTTTCTCCAAGTCATCGTTTGAATTTCAACGTACTACACGGCATTACATCGCAGAAGATAGAATTCCTCAAACCAAATTTTGTTCATTGGATGTTTGGCCGTCAACACCCTCGAATTTTCATTTTAACCGACCCTCTAACTGTCCAATAATACTAATTTGTCTATAATCAGTTAAATTTATAAGAATGCATTTCATTGGTGCCCAGACCTCAGTGTATTTCATTAAATTATTAAATTCCCAAAGCTCTGAACTGGAAAGGTTGAGGTGACAACGTTTGGTCACACTAAATGTTCCCTCAGCACTCCTCAGACACCCTCAGTTCAGGTTCTTCCCACATTGTGGGACGTGATTTGAATGATATGCTTCTTACCTGGACGGGATAAGGGAACTTCTTCTGGACAGCTTCCTTTTGCACAGTGACAGGATATGGCTCCTCCACTGGCGCAGAGACAGGCCTGTTAGCAGACGCCTTGACAGGTACATTCACCTTCACAGGGTATGGTTGAGAGACAGGCACTTGTACGCGTACCGGGTAACGTGCAGCCACTTTCTTCTCTACAAGAACAGTATACGGCTTCGGGTCATGAACCGTGTACGACTGTGGGACAGGAACTCTCACGTGAACGGCAAATGGAACTTCCGGAACAAAGTAAGGTCTCTGTACAGGGACATTCAGGGGGTAAGGTACAGGCTTATGGACTGCGTAATGGAGACCGGCTGGATGGGATACAAATTGTTTGGCTGGAAAAGAAACGGTTTTCTCAGTGGGTTGTGGTACATGTTTCTCGCCTGGAATGTAAACTGGGAAATGGTGTTGGAGTGAAACTTCGTCAGTCAGCGTAAGTGTCTGGACATCATGGTTCTTATGCAGTGAAGTGTCTTCGAAGATGTTGGGACTGTGTTGTAAATTGTGGCCTCCATGGTAGTTAAACAGATAGTTAAAATTATTCTCACGTATAAGTTGATGTCCTTCATCCTGTCCTGTCTCTGTAACTCTGTATCCTTCCAACGGCTGCTCCAGATGGCCATGTTGACGGAATTCTGACCCATGATTTTGAGCTGTTTGTTGATCTGAATGTTGTTCCACAGAATTCAACTTGTGCTTCTGTTCCAGTGTAGCTTCACCTGGATTTGTATGTTTCTTCTCTTTGGGTTCTCTGTCATTTCCATTTTCATCCATTTCTTTTACGTCATATTGCAGTTCTGATTCTTCGGCTTCACCCTGTGTCTGCTTTATGTCGACGTTCAATTGTTTTTCTTTCCCGGTGTTTTGTCCTGTTGTGTTTTCTTCATCCTGGAGCTGTTGCCCTTGATTCCTATTTACCTCCTTTGCAAATTGTTCATTATCTTGATGCCCTTCGAATTCTGATATGGTCTCCAAGTGCTTAAGCATATTTTCTTCATTGGCTGCAAGCTCGTTTCTTTCCTGTTGTTTCTCTTTCAAATCATCATCTTTTCCTAACGAAAGTTCGTCCTTGCTATCGATCTCGTGTTCTAATGTTGAATCCTCCCTTTTCGTTTGGTTGTTTACGTCTTTCTCGGTGCATTTGCTCTCTTCAGCCGAAGTTATTAATGCAAATGCCAGTATAATTATTTCGATCTGCAACACAAACCGTAATTAATCAGACAATTGTCACATATTTGTGTAAAGTAAGGGTATCCCTGTAACAGTCCGTGGAGGCCCATAGGGTTGTGAGATGTTGAGGTTCCCACATTTTCTAGACAGTCGGCTCATAGATGGAGGCAAGGTTGTTAGCCTTACACGCCAGCCTCACTTTACTCCCAGGAAGATTCCCGGTACTCATTTCTGTTAGAGGCTGAGTCGACCCCAGGGCCATAGTGAGGCTGGAATGGTTAGGTCAATTGAAAAGAAAAATCCAATGACCTCATCGGGACTTGAACCCGAGACCTTCTGGCTTTTAGCATAGTGCCTCAACCGACTATGCTACCAGGTGCCCCCACATATATGTGTTCAATTTATAAATACGAGCATGTCTACTACTTGTGCCCTAGAAGCGAGAAATTCCTGTTACATTCCTACATTCCATCAGCTATGAAGATGAGTGAAACGTATTTCCTTAATCTTGGCGTATTTCACAAACCTTTATGAAATGCATAGACTGCTTATTAGTAAATGATAATTTATGGACGCTGAGTTGAAAGAGCTTGGAAGCAGATGACCGTGCTCAGTTATTAAGGTTCTGTCCCTGATTTTTCTTTCAAGGGATGCAGAAAACCACAGAGAAGTTCCTCAGTCGGGTTCAGATACGAGGGAAGGTTTATATCCGTAAGCTAGGCATTGTCTTAGTAACATATCTTCTTGTGTTTCTATATTATCCAAAGACTCCGTGGCTTTAGCCCGCAACCAAACTATAGCAACCGAGCGACCGCCGTTTGTCGGCCAACTTTGTGGATAGAGTGTGTCGCGTGGTTAGAGCAACGAATCCCCAAGGCTGTTAATTTTCGGTTCTCTAGACCGGAGCCGCTTTTTCCTTGAAATAGCTCCTCAGTTATTCTCGCTAGGCTGAATGGACCCCGTTCCAGACCCGCTACTTCTCAGAAAATCCGGTAGCGCCGGTAGTCGAACCCGAGACCTCTAGATCTATAGCCAGGAACTCTAACCACTAGACCACAGAGGCGGTCAAAGTCTCGCATATCGAATTACAAAAATTATCTAGTAGTTTAGGCACTGATACTAGGGAACAGATAAAATGACAGGTATGAATCCCACCTAAGGAGGTTTTTCTCCCCCTTTGAAAGGACGCCTGCAAATGAGGTTCAACTTAGGTCCTCCGAATGGGATCAGAATCTAAGATTGTGGGGAGTCCACGGCAGTGAACTCTCCTTAAAGACCTTAAAGACTGAGGCGGCCTCATACGAGTATGTCGACTTAAATACCGCCTATCGCCTTTGCACGAACTTAAGAAATAACACTTACTCTTAGTGCCATGGCGGTCTCTTGCGCGGAAATATGGAACTGACTTCCTATTGTGACAATATGACACTTTATATAGAATTTGTCCCTCGCTTTTTAACTTTCCCTCCTTTCTTATGAATACCTGACACGCGACACAACGATACATTCATTTCGATATGGACAGCGAACATAATATCGATGTCATTCTTTGTATCTTATCTTTATATCGATAGCTCTCGCAAAACTGTGACAATATTCCGTACTTTATATAAAACTAAACTTTTATTAAATGGATCCAAATATGTGGTCCCTTCCTACTTTCAACGCTCTTTCCTTCCGCCTTTCACTCTTTCTGTTCTTTCTGTTTATTCTTTCGTTCCCTACCTAGTTTGTTTCGTTTACTATTTAGCCATTCTTCGAATCAAATTTTTAAACCCATTCGTTGAGAAAAAATCTCAGCAAATATTACGCTATTCTCAGTAACAATAATACAGATGCGTCTCATGATTAATAATAATACAGAGTGGCCTAAAATTGATTCTGATGTAAACCTGTCAGTCAGTGTGTAGAGCGGTATCACAGTGCTGTGGACTGTGCATTCCACATGGAGGAACTCATCCGAAAAAAAAATTCGTAAATTCAATTAAGTAATAAAGTAATTTCTGACGTATTTCAGTGTACAATTTTCTAACCGGCTAGCTGACTCTTGATCCAACCTGTACATCGAATAAAATTAATCAGTATTGACTAAATCAAAGAAGACGTATCGTAAACTTCGCAGACTAAAAACATTTCACAGTGTACATATTAACGGTTGTATTTCATGTATTCATTTTATGCTAACGTTAAGAAACTATAGAACGAACGTGAGAAAAATTCTATTTATTTTGAAGTTACGTAGTACGTATAAATTCCATATTGATACCAGATTTTCATCTCAATAATGAGCATTTGTAACACACATTTTTAAAATAATTTTTCATTCTGCTTGTACTTTTTTTTCCTCTTTTCCTAGTGGGGTGGGACTAAGTCCCTTGTACTGAGGTCACTTCTGTCTTATTGTACCAGCTCCAAATGATAGGTGAGGGTGATTGTGGAGCAATTGGTGGAATGAAGATTGGCAGGGGAAACCGAAGTACTCTGAGAAAACCTGTCCCAGTGCCACTTTGTCCACCACAAATCCCACTTGACCAGACCCAAGATGAACCCGGGCCGCCGCGGTGGGAAGGCAGCGACTAACCGCTTGAGCTATGGCGCGGCCCCCTACTTGGACCTTAAATATCAGTATAATTTTTGCGTCCAAGTACGCGTACATCTGAAGAATCTATCGAGCTTTATTATATTAAATTTATTTAATAAGGAATAATCGATGACACGAGACATCCGTGTTGTATGAAAGGAAAGTAGGCGTTTAGTTCTTCCCAGAACTTCTTGTATTATTTAATTTAAGCGTAATATACTTCGCATACCGACCGAGCGACCGCCTCTTGTGGGCGAAGTTAGTGCCCGCTTTTGCGGATAGAGTGTGCTGCGTGATCAGCGCAACGAATCCCCACTGCCGTTAATCTCGGTTTCCTATGCCGGAGCTGCTATTTCCTTGAAATAGCTCCTCAATTATCCTCGCAAGGTTGCGTGGACCTCGTTCCAGACCCACTACTTCTCAGAAAATCTAGTAGCGCCGGGAATTGAACCTGGACCTGTGTATCTGTAGCTAGGAACTAGACCACAGATGCGGTCGGTATAGTTCACTTGCGTATTAAAAACCTCAGAGTTTTTTTTTGTTTATACGACGCATATATGAGATCCCTAGTTTGAATCTGGGCCTGGAAACGAACTATCGTCAGTTTTTGCGATTTTCCACAGTCTCACCAGATAAATTCCAGGATATTACTTCAAGATAAGCCACCATCTCATCCTTCCATATCCTTTCCTGTTCACTAATCATCCAATTATATGAAGCTGTGTACTCTTGAGCTTATCACAACGTTTTTAAATGAACTGTAAACAGACTAAGTCTGGGGGGGGGGAGATAAGGAAAGGTGAGATGTTGAAAGTCAGACGCTAGTTATAACCTTCTTGCTGGATGATAACCTCTAGCGCTACCTCGTCAAGGTTGTATTTACCAGCACGTCTCCGATAGATAGCAGCACACAGCACATGTTCTGCAAAGCCAGTGCAGAACTGTGATTCAAATAGTTGAGAAATTATCCGCTGTGAAACTTCCGAAGACGTGAGTGTGCTGACATCTAGTGTATAAACTAATCGTTCTCAAGGCCGAGCAATGTAAATCCGGGAAAGGATGTTATTGTGGTCGATCGGTGATGTCCTAGTTGCTTACTCATGGAGCTGAGCCCTTCTGGAGGAGCCGCCAATTCTGCAGCAACTCAAGAATTTCGTAGAATTTTATGGAACCCGAATGTTCATTGCCGTGTTCACAAGAGCCCTCCACTGGACCCTATCCTGAGCCAGATAAATCCAATCCATACCATCCCATCCTATCTCTCTAAGATACATTTTAATATTGTCCACCAACCTACGCGTTGGTCTTCCCAGTGGTTCTTTCCTTCTGGATTTCTCACCAATATCCAATATGTATTCGTCTTCTCCCCAATTCGTGCTACATGCCATAGCCATCTCATTCTCCTTGTCTTGATCATTCTAATTACACTTAGAGAAGAGTACAAGTTATGAAGCTCCTCATTATGCAGTTTTCTCCAACCTCCCGTCACTTCATCCCTCTTCGGTCCAAATATACTCAACACTCTGTTCTCAAACACCCTCAGTCTATGTTCCTCCCTTAATGCCAGAAACCAAGTTTCACACCCATAAAGAACCACAGGCAAAATTATGTCTACTTTCGTAAACTCATTATAATAGCAACTTTTCGTCTCCTTTCTTGGCAAACAAAGTGGAAATTTTCGGAAAGTTTTAGATTAAATTACTACAGCTTCATCCTCATCTTTCCAGCTTATTTGCAGATCTTTCCTATATCATTTGATGGAGATTGGATGGCTCAGTCGGTATAACGAGGGACTGGACGGCTGGACTTCGATTCCTGTTAGAGGGAGAGTGCAGACCGGTTCCGGGGGCCACCCTGCCTTCTAAACAAAGGGTACCGGGGGCCATTTCCCGGGATATAAAGTGGCAGGGGCGAGAAGCTGACAACTCACCTCAAGATTTGTGCTGCTCCACTCACCAATATGTCTTAATGGCGTGTTTCTTAATTAAGCACAGGGATAGCTTCTTTTTCACTGGCGCTACAACCCCCTTGGGCCCTGGTGTCTGATTTTTAGTTTCATGATAATTTTACAGATGGTAGGACTCCTCGGACGAGTGATCAGCTCGTTGCAACACATAGGACAACACAAACACAAACAGACATCCATGCCTTGTGTGGCATTCGAACCCACGATCCCCGATTCTGAATGAGCGAAGACAGTGCATGCCTTAGACCGCTCGGCTACTGTGACCGGCTGGAATAGCTTTACCTTTTACCTTTATCGTCTAATGCTATATGATGTAAGGTGTCGAGAGCGTCATTGAACAATACGTAAAATATATGTGAGGATGGAGGTGGATGCAGCTGGTTTGGGATCGTGTCCAGTGACGAGCTTAAGTATTATCGACATTAAACTTAAAGTTATGCTACCAGAAAGTGTGAGAATATACAGTTAACAGTTAAA